ACTAGTGTGTTCGAGGGAATGTACCAATGTGGAGACATTCACATTTGAAGGGGAGATTGTTACGTAATCCAAGTTTGATTCTAAGTTTCACATTGTGTAAGAATGAAAAAGTTGAGCAACATATAAGAAAGTATGATCATAAATAACCACTAGTGCAAAAAGGGGATTTTACGTCAGGTATTTAAGGCTTTTTACGTCGTATTTAAGTCTGACGTTAAAGCGGGAGACGTAAATTTACGTCGGATCTTTTGCCCGACGTAGATTTACGTCAGTTATCAAGATCCGACGTAGATTTACACTAAACAGACGTAAAAACCTTTTCAATTTAAAAAAAAAACAGAAAATTTACGTCGCATATGGTATACGCGACGTAAATTTACTGTTTTTTTTAAATTGGGTTTATTTATTCTGTTTTACAACTAAAACCTGCAAATATTACAACCAGACAGATCCAGAGGTTCAGTTTTCTTTACCTAGTAAATTAAAAATATAATATTATATAATTCAAACTACATAATAAAACAATATAATACAAACATACAAACTAAAAAATCTATTACAAACTAAGCTACCTATACAAACTAAGCTACCTATACAAACTAAACTAAACTACATAATACACACAATATAATATGAACAAGAACTTAAAAAATAATGTACTAGAATTGTTGAACAAAAAATTTTGCCCATTGTTCTCTAATTTCCGTAATCTCAGATTCTGGTAATGGAGATGGATCTTGAAATACCTGAAACATGAATTTGACTCTTGTAAGCATGCAACATGAATAAAGTTAAATAAACATAACTAATGTTAAAAGTAATTACCTCCGTCCAATAATCAATTAAACCCGCACAAACTATGACTCTCATCCAATACATTACATAGTAACCACATTCAAACGAGTCAGTTTGCTTATTACACTGAAATGATGAAAAAAACATAATATTATTTTCAAAATTGAAATACAAACAATAATTATGGTATTCACTTATATAAATAAGTTTCTAACCTTAGGATAAATGAACTGCAAAGTCTTTGTTCTAGGTTTTCCACTTAGAACATTAGTTCCAAACACGATTCTAAGTGAAAAAAAGTCATATATTATTCAATATGTATTCACAATTTAAAAACATAATTAATGAATAAAAGATAAAGTTACCCTTGTAATAAGCTTTTCATTTCTTGACTCGGTTTCCGATGTAATGAACAAAACCACACCACAGTGTAATCCCGGGACATGATTACAATTAACTGTCAATGGGACCTATATTGTATGACATAAAAATTACCTTTTTACAAATGGCGTTGAAAAACAAACATAACCGAGTAATAGCAATTCTAACAGAAGTTGGTAAGATGTTTCGAATAGCCACTGGTAAAAGTTGTTGCATCAACACATGACAATCATGAGACTTTAAACCAACTAATTTCAACTCTTGCATAGACACAAGACTCTTAACATTTGAGGAGTATCCTTGTGGCACTTTGACCTCACGTAAACACTCACAAAAGCTTCTCTTTTCTTTCTTTGATAGAGTATGACAAGCCTGGAGGTAAGTAAGTGCGTTTTCCAACTGATTGTGGATGTAATTCGAACGTATACCCATGTCCGCCAAATCTTGTCTTGCTTTTATTCCATCTTTTGTCTTTCCTTTTATGTTAAGCAATGTCCCAATTATACTATCACAAACATTTTTTTCAACATGCATCACATCTATACGAGTGTCTAACTTCCAACTTACACCAATAAGGAAGATTGAAGAATATAGATTGTTTCTTCCAAATGTTTTTCTCGGTGGATTTCTTTTGGGTCTTTCCAAACACAATATTAATATTTTTCACTTGCTCATATACTTGTTCACCATTGCGTGGTACTCGATGCAACCGCATTCTCCCGACATCCATTAAATGCTTTTTTCATTTTACGATATGAATGATTAGCAACTAGAAACTTTCTATGCCTATTGTACGCAGCTTTTTGTCCATGTTTCAATTGGATATAACTTGTGTCTTCTTGACATATAGGACACGCTAAATGACCTTTCACACTATAACCGCTCAAATTACCATATGCTTGGAAAATCATTTATAGTACAAAATAACATTGCACGCAACTCGAAATTCACTTCGTGATATGAATCAAATACATCCACTCCTATTTCCCACAACATTTTCAAATCATCAATTAAAGGACTAAGATATACATCGATGTCATTTCCTGGTTGTCGAGGTCCCGAAATCATCATAGATAACATCATATATTTTCTCTTCATGCATAACCCAGGAGGCAAATTGTAAATGATCAACATAACTCGGCCATGAACTATGTTTACTACTTAAATTTCCATAAGGATTCATCCCATCCGTAGCTAATCCAATTCTCAAGTTTCTTGGCTCTGCACCAAATTCTGGAAAGGTTTCATCAATCCTTTTCCATTGTGGAGAATCGACTGGATGTCGAAGAAGATTGTCACATTTTCTACCATTTGCATGCCATGTCAAGTTTCTTGCATCTTCTTTTATGGCAAATAATCTTTTAAACCTAGGTATAATTGGCAAATACCATAACACCTTAGCAGGGGGACCATCTACTTCTTCCTCACCACTACTTTCCTCAACTTTGTTTTTGAACCTCGACAAACCACATGTCGGACACATCTTTAATTTAGCAAAATCATTTACGTACAATATACAATCATTAGGACATGCATGTATTTTCTTGTACTCTAAACCCATTGGACATAATATCTTCTTTGCCTCATAGTTACGAATAGGTAATGTATTATCTTCAGGAAGCATCTCCTTCAACAACTCCAATAATTCGGTGAAACTTTTATCAGTCCATCCATTTCTTGCTTTTAAAGTAAACAATTTTAAAGTTGCTCGATAATCTTGTAAAACTACATCCTATGTACAATTGTTGCGCAAAATCAGATTTCAAAGAATCATATAGATGTGCTTTCATAAAATTTTCTTCACCAATATCACGTATCATATCCTCTAGATTATCATCCATCCCTTCATCAAAATTGTCCGTAGTTGACACAGTTGGGATGTCTAATATTTCTCCATGCCATGTCCATATTGTATAACTCTTAATAATACCATAAACAAACAAGTGATCACGTATATCCTCAAGTTTATGACGAATTTGATTCAAACAACGAACACATAGACAATAATATGTCCCTTTCATAGCTTTTCCATTTTCACTAGCAAATTTCAAAAATTCCTCAACTCCCTTTTCGTACTCTTCACTAATACGACGTGCATTCATCCAACTTCGATTCATATTATGTTATAAAGTTTCGTCACTCCTAGAGATTTAAAAATTATATGTAAAAAAAATTAATATACAAACAACAAAGCACGTTCCAATAACAATGGAGTGTGTAAACCGAATGCACTCAAACAAATAAACAACTAATTACATTCCAATAACAATCCAGTGGAGACATTCATACTATAACGTGATTGAGATCCCCAAAAACAATCACGGATTCAATGTAAACATATAGCAATGACATAAAACACTAACCTCGAGTGTAGACGAAAACTGATTTCAAACTCGAATCCAATCGGGGAGAAAGATCAAGTTCGTCAAATGACACGATAATGTAGATGCTTTTCACTGTAAAACTGCTTGAAAATGGTGTGCAGAGGTAGTTGTTGTCGTCGTTCTCGTCGTCGTTCTCAAAAACCCTGGTTGCGCGAGACGAGGAAGTGGGTCTGGAGGGAAATAAAATAGACTTTTTACGTCGTGCATCCCAGCACACGATGTAAAAAGCTAAGGCTTTTTACGTCGCGCCCCCTAGTACGCGACGTAAAAGTCCATCTTTTACGTCGCGCCTCCCAGGTGCGACGTAAAAGAGGCTTTTTACGTCGCATACTGGGATGTGCGACGTAAAATTTTTGTCCCATATTTACAAAATTGCCACCGCGTTTTATTTACGTCGAAGATACATGCATGCGACGACAATTGGGTGACGTAAAAGCCCTATTCTGCACTAGTGAACCCAATGCCTTAAGGTTTTAAGTTGAGATTGATATTAATCTTTATGTGTATTAGACACATATCTTATTGGTGTGTTTCTCCCCTGTGAATCCTCCTCTAAAGACCTAACAAGAATCACGCTTGGATTACCTACCAAGTACTTGATATCATTTTACAAAACAAATAGGCATAGATATATTCAAATATGAACAAAAATATCTAATTTTTCATTAATTAAGAATTGTTATACAAAACAAATAGGCATAGATATATTCAAATATGAACAAAAATATCTAATTTTTCATTAATTAAGAATTGTTAGGTATTCCAAGTGTGAGTTAAGTCTCACATTGAGTAAAAATGAGAAAGTTAAGCAACATATAAAGAAGTGTGACCTATAACCTAAAACCTTAAGATTTTGGATTGAGAGTGGTGTCAATCCCTTATGTGGATTGGACTTAGGTTTCATTGATATTGTATATCTCTAGTAAATTCCCTCAAAATATTCTTACTTATAATAAGATATTCTTTCTTAGAGGTATGATTCTAAATATTTCATCGACTAGAATTAAACTCTTTAATAAACATAATAACAGAATCTCATATCCAAATATTCCATATCTAATGCAGAATAATTTATTAAAGAAGGACTTAAAATTACATCACGATCATATTCATTTAACAAGAATAATAGTTTATGAAAATCTAAGAATTTCTTGTTAGTAACAATTTCATCTGATTTTCTTATTTTAATAACAAAATGATATCTTTTCTAAATTAACTTCAATTATATTTATAAAAAATTGTGTTCAAATTTAAACATAGAGATTATATCTAGACAAATAACAAGTTTCAAATATTATTCAGCAATTTTGCATTATTTAATTGATCCTCTGATGATCTCACTTTATTATTGATGTAGCCATGAGAGCTGATATTCACAACTCACTCTTTCTGCATTAATTTGAGCAGAAAAGGGTGAGAGTTTACAGCATTATTTGACCACTAATTTGGCAATTCAAAGACTTCTTTAACCATCCTCCTTGAGCCTTCTTGGTTGTAGAATTCTTGAAGAAACTCAGAAAAATGATATCTTCGGTATCTGGGAGGGTGTTCCTCATCTACCAACTCCTCGATCGGCCCAATTATAGTGTCCAAGTTTGGGCTATAAAACATTGCCATCGACACCCGCGGACCAAATTTGTTCGTAACGGCCCTGTGATGTACACTTTTGAATCTTCCGTTGCTCAGAACCTACACATTAAATAACTTACAAACGAGCTTTACTTCACCCTTTTTGCATTTCTAATTACGTGTTCCTCAACCTTATACAAGCTCATCACATTGCCAAGAACAACAAACTTAATATGATTCCAGCCCATGCATATCTAATACATTTTTTAAATTTTCAAACAAACTAAAAAAAAAAATTAATCAATCTAAGTTATAATTGATTAGACTATCCGATTGAACAGATTATGAATCTACCAGTGCAAAAGATGATGCTACTATACTCATCAAATTATGCAACCAATCAAACAAACAAAACTGAAAACTATCAACTATGCTGAGAAGCAAACCCTGAACGATATTTTCACAACGTTTTCTCGTATACAACAATGTGATATACTCTTAATATAATAATTAATAATTTATATCATATTTTTGTTATTTTATTCTACAAAATTATTCAGATATAATATATATTAAAATGAGAGATAATTCATATCATTAATGTGATGATGTGTTGATGCAATTAAATGACCGTATATACACAAGTAAAACGCGAACCCTAAACCCAAACCTTTATCAAAATATTAATGGTCAAGGCACTTGAACGTTAGATGTAGCTCTTACTCAAGTATAATTATGCTTTATCTCTTTGGAAATATATGACATTAAGATTAGATTATACACATTAAATAATTATTAATTTTTATTATTTTTAATAAATTTATTAATATTTTATTATTTTAATATTTAGAAGCAAAATATTCTTAAATTTCAAATAATTTGTTATTTTTTTTATGTAATAAATATAATTAAAAAATGAAAATATAATTAATGAAAAATAATTAATACAAATATATTAATTTAAATATGATAATGATTTCTCGATGTAATAATTTTAAAATTTTTGTAAATAAATTTTAAATATATATTCTTATCTAAATTAAAACAAAAATGTGTCTAATAAATTTATTTTTAAAATTTATTTTAAACTAAAAAATAGAAAAGTGACATTGATTGAGTCAACAAAATATTTGATATTTTTTCTTTAATTAAAATAATTGATTTATTGTTATTATTATAAAAAATATCTAAACTAAAAAATTTACTTTAAAAAAATAATAAAGTAGTAAAAGTTTTCTTTATTTACTATTTTTATATACAGGAATTAATTTTTTGGTTGTTAAAAACTAAAAACTTTTTTATAACTAATTTATTAAAATAGTTTTCAAAAATTTTCATTTTTTAAAATTAATAAATTAATAAATTTAAATTATTTTTTTTAGTTTTTTGTTTTATTAATGATATATTTGTATTGACGTATAATTATATTATAAATCTGGCCTATAAAATTATTAAAATTATTTTCTTAATTTCATCACAATTTTTATCATCATTAATCCTGTATTTCTTAATTAAAATTATTTTTAAATTAGACTTATTATTTATTTTCAATTAATTTAAAAAAAATTCTAAAACTAATTTTAAAAACTAAAACAAAACTAAATCCAACGAAATATATCATTAAACTTATATTGTTTGTTTGTTTATATACAATATTATATCTAATTAACTATGAACCAATTTTAATTAAACCAAATCCAAGTTAATAAAATCTTCTTAATTATATTTACCACAACACATATGGTGTGAATATAAGAGTTTGTTTGTTTCATGATTTTCAGCTTTTTAAAATTTAGAAAACTTATAAAATATATTTTTATTATAAACTTTTATTTTCATTTATCGATATCAATATTTTATTCAATAATTATATTAAATTATTTATTTTTATCAATATCAAATTATTAAAAAAATTAATAATTTTTATGATCAAATCATATTTTTGATTTAAAATAATTTTTAAAATATTGTTATTAAACAAGTTATTTTTAAAATTTAATATAAACATAATATCAATGTAACTGTTTTTAAAAATGAAAAAACTAAACTAAATCAAACAAATCCTAGATTCAGTTCATTTATTTTTCTACTTAGAACACATTTACCTCGGGTGAACACAAAATGAAAAATTAAAATTAATTTTGTCATAAATTAATATTAGTATTTTAAATAATTTTATTTTAAATTTATGCATAAGTTAGTTTTAAATTATAAAAAAAATATTTTAGTTTTTTTTTATATATTTTTAAAAATCTTTACTAACAAGGTTTTTCTTTGAAGATCTGCTGGTGCTTAAGAGTATGAAAAAAAAGATAATATAAAGAACGTAGTCATTGTATAAATCCGAGATAAATTAATCTCTGGCTAAAAAAGTTAGAAAAGAGAGTGAGAGAGTCTATGGGAAAAGCACACCAATGATACCTGAATTTGATCTCCCAAGTTGATTACAAAGGCATTGGGAACAGCAGGTACTGCAATCCACTTCCCATCTTTGATGACTTGGAGACCAGAAACTTGAGATTGTAGAACAACTGTGAGAGCATTGAAATCAGTATGCACAGGGAGACCCAAAGTCAGCTCTGGGTCTGGACATGGTGGATAAAAATTGGCCTGTGCTCTTAGTCTAGGCTCATCCCCCAATATCTTCACCATGCAATCTTCTTTTAATCCAAGCCCTACTGATATCAAACCAAGAACCCTTCTCACCAATGAACCAATCTCTCTTGCATATTCACTGAAAGCTTCGCTGTCACAAACAATCAAACTTGTGAATAGGTAAAGATTTTCTCCTGTGTATTTATTTTCTTATTTAAATTGAAAAGTAATTACATTTATATAAGAAAATTACGAAACTAAAAAAAGAATTGTCCACTTTTAATTATGCAGAAAACATGGGTGTTTTCTTAAATTTTAGTTCTTTCTCTCCCCAAAAAATACACCAATAATCGACCTGATTTTATTTAATCCTAAATTACTTAATTCAAAATACGAAATAACATAAATTAAATAACTAATTATCCCTCCCTTAATCACAAATGCTTAAACAAACATTCTCCTACTCTCAAATGCCTAAACAAGCATTTTTGTTTATTTTTGATATTTTAATCATTTGTAACATATTTTTAAATTTCACCAATTGCTCCAATTTAAGTGGTGTAATTATTATCTCAACTACTTGAGTATGACAATTACAATAACTCAGCTTGATTCCTCTTTCCTTAATAAGGTCTCTTAGAAAAATAAAATCTAACATCAATATATTTATTCATTCCGTGAAACACTATATTAACTTAATGACCAAAATACTGTCACATAAATGTGTTTTTATTATTTAAAATTGATAGTTTCCAATATTCTCTTAATCCATCTACATTGACATGCACATGATGCAGCAATTATGTATTTTGATTTTATTGTAGATAATGTTACTATGGATTGTTTATTGAAAGATCATGAAACTGCTCCAGTCTCTAAAGAAAAGACAAATTCATACATATTCTTCCTATTATCTATATCTCTAGTAAAACCACTGTCTATATAAGCAACTAATGTTGTATTTTCTCATTTCTTTTAGAAAATTCTAAGTCAGTAGTTCAATTTAAGTACCTTAGAATTCATTTGATAGTAAACCAGTGAGTTTTTGTAGGATTGGTCATAAATCTGTTGATCAAGCTGACTCCATCAAGTCTGGTTGGGTTGCAGTCAAGTACACTTCCAACTACTTGCTTGAATAGAGTAGTATCCACTTTAGTCCCTTCATCACTTCTGGACAATTTTGTTCCGAGAATAATTGCGTTCTTGACTGCATCGTAGGTCATCATGCCAAATTGAGATAAAACCTATTGAGTATACTTTCTTTGACACATGAAAATTCCATATGTTTTCTGCAAAATTTCAACTCCAAGAAAATACGGCATCTTTCCTAGATCACTCATATCAAATTCTGACATCATAGAATTTTAAAAATCATCAAACATTCTTCTATCATTTCCCGTATAAATTAAATTATTCACATATAGACTCGCAAATAAAATTTTACATCTCTCTCCTGATTTTGTGAACAATCTATGTTCACAAAAACATCTTTCAAAACCATTTTGTGAGAAATATCATTCTATTTTGTTGTACCATGCCCTTGGTGCTTGTTTGAGTCCGTATAGTGTCTTTCTCAATTTGTACACTTTCTCTTATTTTTTCTTCTTTATGAATCCAACTGGTTGCTGCACATAGATCTCCTCTTTGAACTCTCCATGAAGAAATGCGCTTTTCACGTCTAGCTGAAATATGATCCAACCATTTTGTGCAACCATTGAAAATATTATGCGGATGGTATCCATCTTCGCAACTGGTGCAAATACCTTTGTGTAGTCCATCTCATAGTGTTGTGTATAACTTTTTGCTACTAACTTTGCTTTAAACTTGTCAATTTCTCCATTCTCCTTGAGTTTGGTCTTGAATACTAATTTTACTCTAATTGACTTCACCCCTTTTGGCACATCAGCTCATTCTCAAGTTTGATTTTTTTTCTATTGCTTTCATCTCTTTCACCATTTCTTGCTCTTAACAGTCTCTTCAACTGTCCTAGATCAATTTTAGTTACAAGCATTGCACCTGTATAGTTATTATCTAACAAACCTTCTCCTTCTTCTTAATTTGCCATCCACACAGGTTCTCTTCGTTGCCTTCTAGCCCTCCTTTCAACTGAAAACTCAAGTACTAGAGTGTATGATTCATTTCTGAAATTTGTTATAAGACTATATATCAGAGTTGTTTTCTTCATGTTCTTCCCATTCAATAATATCTTGTTGATTTTTTGTCTTATTCTGCTCCCAATTTCAGCTCTTATTTTCTTCAAAAATCACATCTCTACTAATTATAATCTTCTTGTTGACTAGATAAAATAGTTTATATGCCTTGGACTCATCATTAACTCCGAACAAAACACACTGCCTACTCTTGTAATCTAGCTTAATTCATTGTTGATTTGATGTGTGGACATGAACTAAACAACCAAATACTCGGAAGTAGTCAACAAAAAGCTTCACTCCACTCCATACTTCCTCATATGTTTTATCCAACACTATTGTCGTAGGACTCTATTCAGAATATGTGCACAACACTTTGTTGCTTCTGGCCATAAGACTTTTGGAACTTGTCTTTCAATCAACATTGAGCGAACCATATTCATGATGGTTCTATTCTTATTTTTAGCAACCCCATTTTGCAGGGAGTATAGGAAGCAGTCAATTTCCTCCTTATTCCTTGACTTCTATAAAATCTTCAAATGCTTTTGAAGAAAATTCTCCTCCTGTATATGTTCTTAAACAATCAATGCTTTCTTTAGCTTCCTTCTCTACCAATGCCTTGAAACTTTTAAAGAAAGAAAAAGTTTCAGATTTCTCACCTAAGAAATACACCCAAATTTTAAGTGATTGATCAATAATAAAACGTATGATATATCTCTTGTTGCTACTTGATATTGGCTTAATAGGCCTGCATAAATCTGTATGAACCAGTTTCAACCTCTTGGATGCTCTCTACAGATTTTTCTTAGGCATTGGGTTTCGGTGTTGTTTCCCTGTTAGACAATAACTTAAATGTCCAAGCATTTGTTTAGAGATAGAGTTTTTAAGCCATCATAGCTTAAATGTCCAAGCATGTTATGCCATAATTGAGAATTGTCTTCCACATTCGCCTGGAAACATGTTGTTTCCGCTTCCACAGTTGTTGTTAGCACAAATATCCTGTTTGCACTCATTTGTATTTCCATAATCAGCCCTTTCTTTGGGTGAACAACATTGCATTTGTTATCTAAATTGTTATACTCAAGTCCTTCTCTTGAAGTTACCCTATACTCAATAAATTATTCTTGAGTTTAGGAACATAATATACATGTGTGATTGCATGTATAATTCCATTCACAACCATCTGAATACTTCCTTTCCCATTACAACTATACAGGTGTCATTACGCAACTTTATCTTGTGTTGAAAATTCTCATCTAATTATAAGAATCACTCCTTATTACCACTAATGTAATTACTGCATCTTGAGTCTAAAAACCATTCATCCTCTTGTTTTACCATATCCTCCGTTTCAGCATAGTTTACTTTCTCCTCCAACATAGGACATTTATATTGAAAATGTCGAAGCTTTTAACATTTGAAACATTCAATTCAGCCTTGTTAAATGTGTGTTTCCCCCTTCCTTTGCTTCGAAAGTAGGCATGGCAACAGGGGAGGCGTATTTTGTCTCCCGATCACCGCCTCCGACGTTCCCATTTTCTCGTCCTCACCTCGTCCTTGATCTATATTATTTTTAAAAAGATAATTATATTTATAATAAATTAATTTTACTATTTTTATGTATTTTTTATATACAAATAAATATTTATAATTTTATTGTAATTATTATTAATTAAATATATATTTTACTTTATTATATTTATATTAAAACATTAATGTAAAAAAAATATTTAATTATTTTTTATATATATATATATAATATTTATAACATTATTATTATTGTTATTATTATTATAACACTGTATTCAAATATTTCAATATTTATAACATTATTATTATTATTATTATTTAAACATTTAATTATATATATAAGTTAATTCATTTTAAGTTGTTATTTAAAAATATGAAATATATAATTTATAAGGAAATATTTAATAAGTTAATTCTTATTTAATTAGTTCGAAGAATTAAAAGTTTAAATTATCAATTTTTTTAATAATTTAAAATATAATTATTTTATTAAGATAAAATTTGATATATGACAAATAAAAATAATAAGATCAAAAAAATATAACATAATAAAACTTAATAAATATAAATTATAAATAAAATAATATTAGTTACTACTAATAGTTATGTAAAATATTTAGAATAAGATAAAAAAAATTAACTTTGTATTCATCAAATTGGTTGAAAATATTGAAGAAAAAAATTGATTGGAGAGATCAAGGAAATGTGAAAAACTAAAAGGTAAGAGAAAGAAAATAATGTAATAAACTAATTGATATAAAAGATTAAAAAAGACAAAAAATTAAAAAATTGGTAGAAGAAAAGTAAAAATGGTAAAATATAAAAAAATGACCTTATATGTAATAGAAAAAGAAAAAGAAATATTTTAAAATTTGAATTTAAATATAAAGTCGGGTGGGGACAAGGATGGGGTCGGGGTGAGGATTACATTACTCATCCCCGTCCCGACTTTTTAAAGCGGGGAAAACTAGAACCCGTCCCCGGACAACTCGATTTTTCCTCGTTAAACTCGGAGTGGAGACGGATCGGTCCCCACGGGTATGAGTTTAATTGTCATCCCTATTCAAAAGTATCCTCTAGTTCTTCCTCCTCTAATTCTTCCTCCTCCTCTACCTCTTCCGCTCTTCTCATCAAGCACAGTTTGTATATCATGCTCCTCTTCCACTGAGAACGTCATTCTTTGCTAATAAACTATTTTGCAATTTGTTTATAGTCATATTATTGGATTCTTCAATGAAGCGCACCACATACTTAAACTTGATTATCATAGACTGCAGGATTTTTGCAAGTATGTCACTCTCTTACATATTTCCTCCCAATTGCTTTCATACTTTTGGCTATCTTTAAAATCCAAGCAAAGTATGAATTTACTTATTCGCCCTCTTTCATTTGCATCGTTTCAAAATTTTTGCATAAGTGTGCTCATTTCACCCTTATTGAACTTTGGAAATTGAGCTTCATATAGTCTCACATATTTTTAGATGTCTCATCATTTAAAATGAGTTTTTCCCCCATCAAACTTGGGATAGAGACGAATCGATCTCCACGGGTACAAGTTTAATTGTCATCCCTATTCGAAAATATCATCTAGTTCTCCCTCTTCCTCTACCTCTTCTGCTCTTCTCATCAACCACAATTTGTATAACATGCTCCTCCTCCACGGAGAACATCATTCTTTGCTAATGAACTAATAGACTATTTTGCAATTCGTCTATAGTCATATTATTAGATTCTTCAATAAAGCGCACCACATACTTAAACTTGATTATCATAGATCGCATGATTTCTGCAATTATGTCACTCTTTTACATATTCTCTCCCCAATCGCTTCCATACTCTTGACTATCTTTAAAATCCAAGCAAAGTATGAATTTACTTATTTGCTCTCTTTCATTTGTATCGTTTCAAAATTCTTACTTAAGGCTTGCAGGTGTACTCATTTCACCCTTATTAAACTTAGGAAATTGTGCTTCATAGAGTTCCATATATTTTTAGATGTTTCATCATTTAAAATGATATCCAAAATTTCTCTATCAATTACTTGATATAGATAATTCTTTATCTTTAAATAATTTAATTGTTGTTCTTCCATATGTTTGATCTCTGTTTTTGAAGCATTTGCCTTGTCTGGTACAACATCAATCCCATGTTTCAGTAAGTGCCAATACTCCTTGGAATAAAGAAATCCATTAGCTTGGTCCAGTGATCATAGTGTTCATCCAAATTTGGGAAAAAAGATTGAACGTATTTAACTTATTCAGTCATTTATAAATGATGTCTTTAAACACTCGCAACTCAGTTATATATCACTCTCACGATAGTTTCTGGTTTAGATACCAAATTATAAACACAAATAGATAAAGTTTTTTTTCCTAAATTTGTATTTAGTGTGTTATTCAAATTGAAAAACAATTACATCTGTATAGGAAAATTATGAAACTAAAAAAGAGCTGCCCACCACTATATAGAAAACTTAGGTGGGTTACCTAACTACATCAAGAGCCAGATTTTAGCTCTCTCCCTGCCTAGATAACAGCTCAACAACTGACCTGATTTTATTTAATCCTAAAACTACTTAATTCAAAAACAAAAACAGCATAAATCAACAACAAACAAAACTACTTTAGCATATCATATGTTGTAACTAATTTAAGAGTGAAAAACAAAAATTGCTCACCAATATTGTGTGCCTATTTCTTGTGGCAGAAAAGAAATGATATCCTCACTAGGATACCAGGAATGACCGAAACATTCACTCCACATCTTCACCTTTTCTCCACCCTCCACGTGAAGGTAATAATTGTATAGTGTTGTCTTCTTGGTATGATCTGCTGTGTAGAGATGTTTTCTTTGCTCTGGAGGCAAATTGAAAAGGTCGGTAATTGCTGTCACCATTTTGTTGCAAACTTGTTCAGGAACCCCATGGTTCACAATCTGAAAGAACCCATACTCCTCACAAGCATTTGATATCTTCTGAATCAACAAAGAGGATGATGGGTTGCCATCATTACAAGTGCGACCACTCAAATCAATTATGGGAATTGAGTCCAGAGAAGTAACCGCTGAAAGTTGTGGTCTTTCATCTTCTGGGAGGATAAATTTAGGTGATAAACAAAGGAGAGAAGACACATTCATCTTGTAAGAGAAACGTGAAATGGAGGAAATTCAAATACACCAAAGAAAGGACATTTTATATCCCAAAAATGTGCGCTTTCTTCTCCGTATTTCTTTAGTTATTAGTCTGTAGTTGAGTTCGTTTAATAATAAAAAAAAGCAGCTGTTCACAAGTTTGCCATTAGTGCAAGCGTGAGCTGTTATTCGTAATAAATAACATTTGGTAAAAGTCCAGGTAATTATTAACCCAACCCAATCAAATAAAAAGGGTAGAAAAAAAGTTGATAGCCACGTGCTAAAGTAACTAGCAAAATTAATCACAACGAAAAGTTAAAATAATTCCGATAAATTTAGTTACAGCTCAATCTTCTGAAATCATTCATCTTTCAGAATCATTTTAATGTTTTACATTTAAGAAGATTTGTTATGATACTAGTGGCTGATACATTGACAAAGATGGTGCACCGTGTCACTGAATGATAAGATCGTAAAGTAAAAGTCATAAATGTTTGACCACTTGTATGAGTGTTCCATGCTGGCTTACGTCATTGCTTCAGCTCTGGACAAAAATCTTTCAATAACGATGAGAGTGAATTTTACAATGAAACAAAATTAGACAGGCTAAATTATACATAAATTCTTTTTCTATCTTATCCACTCAATTACTTTTTATTTTATTTTTATTTTCGTTGGCCCATTGATCATATCTGTTTCTTAATTTAATTTAAAATCAATTATTATTAGAAACATTATAACGTAGTCAGTCAACATTGTAATTCATAATTCAAAGTAAATATTAAATATAAATAAGAAATTATAAAATTAAGAACTAAACTTACTAAAAAAAATAAAAATTACACCTAATTAAAATTTTATTTTAATTTTTATGAATTAATATTAAAAAAATGATAAATAATGTTTTCATGTGCCAGTAATATTTTTTTTAAAATTGCTCTACGAATCCACCAATCCACCTAAATAATTTGTAGATCCATAATTATGCAGAACAGATGAAGATGTTGACCCAGTTTAACCACGAATCTTGTTCAGACCAGCCCACCCATTCCAATTTTTACGGGCCCAATACAGGACAGAAGAAAGTGAATCGGGCCGGCCCTTCTGTACCTGTAACATACAGATCATGTGCGGACCATAAAAAGTTCCAAACAACTTACACGGTGTGTTTAACTGAGGAAGTAAAACGTATAAAAAAAATGATCCATTAAAACACAGAAAAGATAAAATGAAAAGCAAGCCTCCAGTATTATGTTACGCTTGTTGACACACGGGTATTGACTACATATTTACTTACAATGGTCACAAAGTGATCAAAAGCTTTATCACAAACTATACATCCCACGAAAATACGAAGCCAAGTATATGCACGTACTGAAGTCACAGCTGTTGATCCAACCATGGATCCCTAGGAGCCTTTCTACCTCCAAAATATTCCACAACACTTTCAGAAACCCCAGCAACATTATTTAACAATGAGACTCCCCACGCCAGCCATCCTTCCTGTGCTTGCTGATTATTTGTTTCAGCCATGCTTTTCTGTTGAGCATCTTCGATGAGATCAAGCCACCACTTGGCCATGAACTCCTTCACAGCCTCAACCCCTTGGCTTACAACCTCTACTGGGGGAACTATGATTGGATTCTGGTCCAGGTTGAGCTTTGTTAAGTTTTCAAGCCTACAGAACGTGTAAGGAAGAGCTCGGATTTGGTTGTTGCTCAGGTCAAGCTCCCTTAAGCTAACCAGATCACCAAGTGTTTCAGGCAGCTCTTTCATATCACTGAAATTACTGCTAACATTTAGATATTCCAGATTTGTGAGTTTTCCAATGGATTGAGGTAGGCCATGAAGCTCATTGAAATGAGCATCGAGATGCCTGAGAGATTTCATTTCTCCAATGGAAGACGGAAGCAATCGTATTTTGTTCAAATGGATCAAGAGCTTCTGGAGGTTAACAAGTCCAAAACCCATGTTCGTTGGCAGACACATTATGTTGTTAAAGCTTGCATCCAGTTCAACTAGTGACCTGCACTTGTATCGAAGAAAAACTTAATACAAGTACAAAATACAAGTGTCATGAACTAACTAACCATTTTAAAAGCCAGCTATTAGGTGAAAATATATATTATTGACATCACTAACATCCCCACCAACATATTTTGCTACGGACTCCCGCACCAATGACCCCATGATGACCTGGATCGACCACGTTAACACTCATGTAAAGGAAAAAAACTTTAGCAACTAAACATAATGTTTTTGACCAAGAATAACAAAAAGAATTTGAGGGACCAAACACAAATTGAGAAATATATCAAGGACCTAAAAATATATTTAAGCATAAAATACGTGAATAACTTGATTTGTAACTTTAACAATTATGCCAACATTCATGTAACAGAAGGAAAAGGTATGGATTGAAACCAATTTTTTATCACTGACCATGAACAAGAAAAAATTTATGAGGGACCAAAATTGGAGAATACATCAAAGACCTGAAAGATATTTAAGCATTAAAAAAATAAAACATAAAACATGTGGATAACTTGATTTACAACTTTAAAGACCGCGTCAATACTCATGTATCAGAAGGAAAAAGTGGCTGACTAAAAAGAAATTTATTTTTATCAAGACCATAAACAACGAAAAAATTATGACGGCTGAAACACAATTAGGGAATATATCAAGGACCTAAAAGATATTGAAACCATGATTTTATAATATATTTCACAGAAGAGCCTTTTTTGCCTTGATGTGATGACCATACCCAAGTTCACCTACCTAGTTGTGTATGGATGTTTTTGCATTACAAGAATGGAGGCGACAATAATCAAACTCTAGATCACTTGGTCAAATAAGCTTTGATCATGTCATGAACTATGTGAAATACTAGCAACGAACTTTTTACTATTCACTGAATTTTTTTTAATATCATTTTGTAAGTCCATCTCGATTTTAATTAACAACTGAAGGTACGTTTAAAAGAGTGTATTAGAGAATGTGTTACTAGCACATGTATATGAACTAATTATCCCCAAAACTTGAACTATTAGATAAAGACACAAATGGATTTATATTATGTAAGAAACTTTAATTTTAGAATGAAAAAGAAACACACCTGCAAAGGGCAATGGATTCAGGAAGAGCGGTTAGCTTGTTCCCTGACACATTAAGGATCTTTAGATTGACTAGCAATCCAATGGAGTCTGGCAGAGACTCTAAAACATTAGATGAAACATCTAGCTCCACAAGCTTCTGTAGTCCTGCTATTGAATCAGGAATCGCCTGTTTTAATGGCATGAAAGCATCCAAAATTATAAGCTGTAACAATTGAACTATAATCTCTTTCAAATGCTCAAGAACAATGGAACCCCTGCAGTTTAGTTCCTTCTTATTTCATAATAATAATAATAATGATGATGATGGTTATAATAATAATAATAAACAAGTAAATGACAGCAAACAAGGAGATGTTTATAGTTATTAATACATCATGATCAACTAATTCAATTTGCTGTTGTGTTATGTATTTTAAATTTTACACAAGCTACTTCAATTCAAAGTAACAAGTATTTGTTTTTTTTTTGTTTTTTTGGATTAGGACCATACCTATCTTCCACATGAAGCAATCATACTCTGTCGGTAGAACAAAATTTCAATGAGCATTCAGTGCAACTACATTTAAAGGGTTCAAACTCAAAACCACTGATTAAACTTAAACCACATCATGTCAATTGATCCAAACAATCGGTGGTGAATTTAAATCAAAGCTAAAGTATTCTCAGGTATACACTACACAATTCACACTCAAGACACAAGAGACTGAATCTTACACGCCGCCTTAATCCTCTAGAACATGAAACCAAGTTCATCACCAAATGCCACTAAGAGCATCTCCAATGCAAGGATCTTATACAAACAGTAAGCCACAATTTATAATTTTTTACTACTTTAAAAATCAATTTTAATTATATAATTAATTTTTTAAATTAAGACTGAGAGTCTTAAATAAAACCCAGGTAGTATGTTTAAGAGTCTGACTAAGACTCTGTATTGAAAATGTTCTTGGTAACAACACACGTCATAGGCTATGATCACACTAATACAAGGTTTTGCTACGATGAAAACAAAACACACAAAAGATCGAGATGAAGTCTGTGCATACCTCTAACTGATTCTGAGACAAATTAAGCACAACCAAACCACGAATCTTCCCGAAGGCCTCGGGGAGAATCCTCAACTGAGACCCAGAAAGATCAACCTTTTCCACTTCCTCACCCTCCGCTTTCCTCAGAAGCCCAACCACTCCTTGATCCACCTCTTCACCAACTCCTTTCACCGATTGCGCGTAAGCCTCGACAAGCATCTCCTCGGAAGCCCTAAGCTGCTTCACGCACTCCTCGTGCATGTCATCCACGCGCACCAGCGCGTGAAAGACCTGCGCCTCGTCGTCTGGCGCATGAGGGTCGGCGATTTTGGCACGCGCGGCAGCAACGGCAGAGGGGTCCGGGCGGGGACCGAGGGTGCGGAGGAGGGAGAGCGTGTGGGCGACGTTAAGGGCGGAGGCGCGTTGGGTGAGTGAGGGTAACACTTGGGGATGGTTCAAGTGAGGAAAGCGGGAGAGTAGAGATTGGTGGAATTCTGAGGGGAGTGATGGATGCGTGTATGGATCAAGGTGGTTTAGAGTGTAGGAGAGGAGAGGGAAATCGTTGAGATTAGGATTCATGTTCTTGAAGAAAGAAAGTAGTGTGAAAAGGGGTGGAAAGTACGAGAAAGTAAACAGGGAAAGAAACAGGAAAGGTAGATAGATAGATAGATTATGGGCGTTTGGTAGTTTCGGGTTTCTACTGCTGACCGTTGTTTTGGATTGGAACAGTGTATGTTTTGCGTTGATTGGCGTTCCAAATCGGTTGTTGTTTGATTTCCACTTTTGGACATGTTTCGGTTGAGTAAGTCTTGGGCCGAAACAAAAACTTCTTTATTATTATTTGATATTTTAATATCGGTATTTAGTAAGCGTAGCCAAACCATTGCTTAAATTCCTCAAAAGCCATTGCCAAAGGGACTAGACACCATTTTCATTACTGGATATTTCTTTTCACCAAATCAATAAACTTGATAAAACAAATAGCTTAGAAAATGTCTCCCAAATTAAATCCTGATATGCACCCTTAATCAATCCAGTTGTGGGCCTGTTCCCCTTGGACAGATCCAACGTATTTTATATCCATATGTTCATTGTTCATTGCATGAATTGCATTTTTTAGTTCCTTCCTTTTATGTTGCTGTTGTGTCTTGGGCAATTTGGGTGTCCCCAACTCATCTTTTTGGCACAAATTACCAATGCATTTTACTTTAAAATTCTTATAAACCCAATATTTGGTGTCAAAAGTATTTTGGAGAAGATTTCATTCCTAGTAAAAGACAGCAATGCAAGAGGCTGACCCACGAAGTCCAAAACATCCACAAACCAAAACCTAGTTTTTATCATGTGTAGGAAAATATATTTCATAAATACTCTATGAAAGCTTTCATATTCTGAAGTGATTTACTCGCAACTCGCTAGATATTTGTTATTGATAAAAAAGGAGGAACCTTTCATATTTAAAAGAGCTACGTGACAGCATGATGACACCATCTTGTCCTTTAAAGATTTTTTTAGTTGGAAATTAGTCATTGATTTACCCATTTATTAATTAAAAATTAAAATTAAAATTCAAAACATAATCACTTACTCTTAAAAAGATTAAATCTAAAAATTGTCTCATTTTAAGAGCAAGTCTTAGTTACTTTGGAACGAGGTGTTAATATGAGTTATAACCCGTCAGTCAATCCGATTTATCACGGGTTCGAGTCGGGTTGGGTTCGATTTTTTTTTATTTCTACTGATTATGGGCTAAAAATAAACCTGACTCACTTAACCCACAAGTTAAACGTGTTCGAACTGGGTTATGGTGGGTTAGCCCGCAACCCACAATTAATTTTAAATTTTAAAAATAATTATAATATCATACTAACCTTAATTAATTATTTATTTTAAATTTTAAAAATAATTATAATACTTTAGTAACCCTAATTGATGTTATCTTGTTTTACCTCTACTCTACATTATTAGTTGTTGCCACAAACCAAACTCTCGCTTAAACTTGTTATCGGTTGTTCATTGCACTATTATGATTGTCACTGCACTTTGATCACTTGTCTTATTATCTGTCCATCGCACCACTACACCATGTCCATTGTATTGCTTTCAAAGGTAAAAATTTGTTTCATAACCTAAATTATTTGAAACAATACATCAAAGTGTCAATATAAATTGTATTGGTGATGATTTTATTATTAATGAAAAACCCAATGAGTCAATTTCAGATAATAACGAAGATAGTGATGTTGAGAAAGAAAGGAAGAAAACATAAGTTTCTACATCTGAAGTTTTTATATAATTTAAAAAATTAAAAAAATATGGGTTATTGAATCAAACCACCTAACCCACCAACCCGTGGTGGGTTGAACCGGATTATAAAATTTCATTCGCCAAAAAGTGAATCGGGTTGAACTCACCTATTTTCAGCTCAACCGTGGTGAGCAAACCGTGTGAGCTGGGTTGATTCATTTTGACACCCCTACTTTGGACCACCTAACCAATTTTTAGGTTGATTTAAAAAATCAATTTAGTAGTGCGCCAAAAAATTGCTAGTGATATCTGTTGGATGTAGATTACTAGCCAAACAAACTTGAAATTGAACCACCTCTTTTTTTCCTTGTTCTAAAAATATTATTTCACAAGTACATTAATTAATAATATAGTAATTAAAATTTATTATTTTAGTAGTATATTTAAAATTTAATAAATTCCATCGCAAATATAGTCGACCCGTAATATGTTTATTTGTTAATTTGTAATTGTTTATTATACATTTCTCGACCCAAAATCTAAAAAATAAAAAATTATAGATTATAAAGTTAGTCCAATTACAGGTTTAGCTCAAGTTACCAATTGATTTCCTAACTGGAGTGAGCCGAATAAATATTGAAACTATGCTTTCATAATCTAATTAATACACATTTTTCTAATCATTTTGTGTGTTTACTTTTTATATAAAACCATTTTCATTTGAATGAATAAAAAATATTTATTATTTTATAATTTATAAATAATTGTAAGTAAAGGTGACACATTCTTCGTAATAGGAACACATTTATTTTCCTTGGCGTTTGTTTGACCTACTTACTCAAGAGATCCACATCCATGACTTCGTCAGTTCCCCGCTCACACACACCTTTTCTCTTTTATCGATCGGTTTAACTATTAATATTGACATTCAATCTTTTTATTCCAATACTGTTCAATTATTACTCTTTATATGATTTAGACAAAAACAAAAATGTAATTCAATTATCTCTTTACTAATTGCTATTTTTTTCTCTTTACGTGTGTGAATTAGCCTGTATATCTCCACGCATTATTTTCCTGATGTAAATGAAATGAGAATAAATAATCGCACATGGTGGGGTAGAATATCTCAAATTGTCCTCCGGAACACCTCTTCGTTTTGGACTTGTTTTCATTAATAAATAAACTAATCAATTCATTCCTGGTAATTGGGTGGGTGAAATATCTCTCAAATCTCTTCCAAAACTAAGAAAGCGAGAGGAATCTTTGAATGTTACATGAGTGGAGGTCCTTTTATTTCACATACAAAATCTTCATTCTAAAATTTTCAATCTTCCATTGCTGAAAAGATTACCTTATTCTTAGTTTTTTCTCTCTCTCGTTTTTCCATGTTACTTTTTATTTATTTCAAAAAAGGAAAATATTCCCATTTTAGGTTGCCTCCATCAATTTGTTGTTCTGTAGCATATATTCTCATATCATGAGTTCAAGTTCTTTGAACATTCATGTGCCAGCTGTCATGAGATAGTTTTAATTTTTCATTATGATGAGTTCATTTTATCTTTAGATGGAGTCTGGTCCCCCATACTGCGTATGTGTTTCCAACACTGAGGTGGTGTTCATACGAATCAATCATGTCGTGTCCCTTGTATGTAGCAGCACTTCATTTGAATCGGACCAGAACGCATACCTGAATTTGAACATCAATATATTAGTTACTCCAAAGAAATGAAACATGGAAAGACAAATCTATGCAGACAATAGAAGACACTGCATTAGACAAAGAAGTTCTAAAATAACATAATTGCATCGGTCCCAGAACAAAGTAAATAACTTTAATTTCCACAATGTTTTTGTCAGAACTATATAAAGATAAATTCACAAGTGACAATGGAATAGGAATCGTTTTTTTCTCAAAAACATGGAGCATCAAGAAAAGATAAATTGCCAAGCAATAACAGATAAGGGATGATGGCAGCCACGTTGCCATTAAAAAGCATAACCTAATATATGTAGGGTAAAAGAAACTTACGATGGAAATACGCCAACAGCCATCATGTTTGAGTAAGATTTTCTTCCAATCTTCAGTTAAACCTGTAAACAGAAATGCCGAACTATTAATCAACACAAATGCATACTCTTAAAGGGGAAGGAAAAAGATTAAAATCTGTAAAAACAAGAAATCAAGCGAAAAAGTTTGAAACGACAGTGATGACACGGAAAGAGCACAAAACCAAAGTCAAAGCGAAAACAGATTAATACGTCCTTAATGAAATCATAGAACAAAGGTATTTGAACAAATTGACCATGAAATCTACCCAGAAAACGAATTAAGGAAACATGTGAAGAAGAAAAAAGGACCTACGAACTCACCATGATTAGAAAAACGGAGCGAAACGAAACACACGAAATTGGAGTGAAATTCATTAATGGGCAATCAAGGATCACAAGCTAAAACCGCAACCCTTGTCTGCGATTTTTACAGTCCCACTTTACATCACACATATACAGGACTCTTTCCTTTCCCCGTTTCATTCTCCTTTTCTTTTCAATCTTCGTTTAATTATATTATATATCATCTTAAGAGTCCTTTTATCATTTTCATTTCCATTTTCATTTTAGAATAACACCTGCTTCGTAATCTTAGTCCTTCCATTCCAATATTCTTTCTAAACGACACCGTTACGCTATTGCCAGTGATTCCCGTTGTGGATTAGGTAAACCTGGCCACCACTCCCGTGGTAGCCGTACCGCCGCAGAGGCATATTCCTTCCAGAGGATTTTGATTTCTCCAGGGCGACCGGATACGACGGCGCCGGCGACATCTGATGGACACAGCGGTCAGCCGCCGGCGCCGAAGTTCTGTAACTTCGACCAGCGCCGCCGTTACCGCTGCAATACGACGAAGACGATGAGGAAGATGAGGCCGAGGAGGAAGACAAGGAGGCCGATTTCGATGGAGGAATGGAAGTGTTTTTCGGAGATCTCGGCGGCGTGGGCGGCGAGAGGAAGGCTCTGATCTTGAGCGAGGAAACGCGGTCGTATTCCTCGATGAGGTTGGTGAGATCTTCGTCGGATGTGATGGAGACGAGAGCGTCGAGGTCTTCTGAGGGTAATTGGCAGCGGAGGTGCCTCACGGAGGCGCCGCATAGATCTTCCAGCTTCAGCAGTAGCTCTGCACGACACGCTATTGGGTTATTTATCATGAAAGATCGTCGTTTAAAGTATGAGGAGGTGGTGAACGGAAACTAGACTATGTGAGAGAGTGTGTGTGACAGAGAGAGAGAACTGACCGGAGAAGGGAATAGAGCGGTCGACGGCGAGGACGCGGGTGTGGCCTCCAAGGTAGCGGAGCTTGCCATCGGGGTAGCGAGGGAAGATTCTACCGCCGTAACTGCAGAGGAATTTGATGGTGGATTTGGGAGGTTCGGAAGCGGTTTGGGCTGCTCCGAACATGTTCGGTTGGGGTTGGAGTTCGGAAAAAGTGAAGTCCAGCTTTGGATTGTGCGAGGAATAAAGTGGAAAAGAGAACAAGAGCGGCTTGTGGGTGAAGGTGCTTTGAAGTTTGGAGAAGCGCCTTCAAGCCTATTCGTGGTGACATTTGTCCCTTATTTATAGGCATTTTTCTCACTTGCTTACGATTTGGAATTGGAAGGGCAGAAGCTCAAAAGTCAAAAACTAAAATACCTCGTATGACGGATAACCATTTTTATTATATATCTTTCGCACAATTACATTTAATTCAATCATTTTCTTCACATTTATGTAATTTATAGGAGTGAAAATTAGAAAAAAAAATTAATAACGTTGTAAATTTATAACATCAATTATTTTGGGATAAATTACAAACACTAGAAACTGCAAAATCATGTGAAAAAGGGAATAAGCCATTTGATTGAATATAAGCTTAACCATCAAGTTATAAAAATAATTTAAGTCCACCTAATTTTTTTTTTTATATATTTATCGGCTTGTTGAGTTGGATCAAATTGGTCCAATTTTTTTTTTTAAATTTGAAAATTTGTTCGATTTCGATTTATCAGGTACTTAGATTTTAATCAAATTTCAACTACGTAGCTTCTTTTTATTTAGGTTAGCAAACAGTTTTCAATCAAAATATGTATAAAAATAAAAAATGTCACAGTATCGAGCCGAATGAAAGATAAAACATGCACGTATATTAAAAACATTGAAAGTGTGATAAAGTATGTATATCGAAATCGAAAGTACTATTTTTAGTATTTTTTTATTAAAAAACTTGAAGTAAAGAAAGCAGTAAAAAGGTATCGAGACGAAAAGCAAAATAGAATATTAAATTACAGAAAAATATAAATGTGAAACCTTAAAATTGCATTAAGTGTAAATGACAATGAATTGAAATTACAAAAATGTAAATAGCAGGAAATCGAAATTGCAGAAGTGTAAATAGCAGGAAATCAAAATTGCTGAAGTGTAAATAGCGAGGAACCTAAACGCAGAATCTTAACTTGCATAAAGATAAATAACAAGGAATTGAAAGGACAAAATCTTAAAATTGATAAATGTAAGTGACTGAACGAACGTAGATTGCATGAAAGTAAATTACATGAAAGTAAATTACCAGGGGAAGTAAAGAAAGTGGTAAAGACAATAAATAAAAATGGAAATCCAGATCGCCAGAAACTTCATGATTCGTCGTTTCTCCTGTAGAATTTTTACTTGTGTTTCTGTTATCTCTGCCAATTTCCTGTTTTCCTTCAAACTTCGCTCTATTTATAGAGTGTCTTTCAGGTAACCTCCTAAGAGCAGTTTAAAAATTGCTACCACGTTCCATGTGCACGTACGTTAACTATCCCTCGATTTTTATCTTAGCCACGGTTTAGAAAATCGTTTCCCACGTTCCATGTGCGTGATAACCGTTCATTTGATCTTGACATTAACCATCGAGTATTTAAAACTATTTATGGCTTTCCATTTAACTTCATACTCAATACCTTTCATCGATTTTTACTTCCCCATGATCATCGAATTTCATTTGTTCTATTCTCTATTCCAATTCTCGATTTTCTTCAGCAATAGCCATCGAATTCTCTTCTTTCGATTCTCGATTCCTATTCTCGATTTTCTTCAGCAATAGCCATCGAATATTCTTCTTTCGATTCTTGATTCCAATTCTCGATTTCAATTCTCGATCGATGTTTTCATACTAATACATGATTATCGAATGTCTTTCAACCATCTTTTCGATTTATCAATTTTTCAACTAACATACGATCCTCGATTTCCTTCCATCCGTTTTTCGATCCATATATTGATTTTTTCAACCAACACTTACATTTGTATATATTTTATTAAAAAACTTTAAAATAATAAATAGTATAAAAGCCATATAAATTTTCAAGTTTATGAATTAAGTCTACTTTACTTAGTTTTATTTAAGTTTAAATGACGAGTCTTATGAATTTTTTTCCTACATTGCTCTCTCTTTCTAATTCAAGCTGTGTGATTAGTGATTAGTGATTACTTCTATGTTTAATGCCTTTTTAGGACAAGTTATCTAGACACGCAACTGAACAGTTGAAAAATTGGTTGTAAGTTCCACCTTGAAGTGAATCATCGTATTTGTCATGATCCTAGGTATATATAAATTATGAAATCTTATAAACCCTTTGCCATAAATAAAAGGGTTAACATTAAGAGACACCAAAGGGATTATCATTTTTTACTTAAATAAAAACAAGTCGACTAGCTTGGGAATTGAATTTCATCTTCAATTGTAATTATTCATCAACTTAAAGAAACATTTTGTGTCTAACTATAACCGCCTTTCAATTCATTGTCTTCTTATTGTTCGGGTTTTTCTACTTTTGTTTTATTCTTCTTTCAAACTCTTTGATGAAAATATTCTTTACACGCATGCATATATTTTGTTACTCCAGACTACTTGGTACACTTATTCAGTTTTCCTCCTATTAGCAGTGTTAATGTCTTCATAGAATGCTTTATAACTCTCAAGTTACGTAAGAATATTTTCACTCCATATCTGCAAAGGATTTTCAAAGAGTTCAAATGCTCAAACGAAAGCAAACAAAAGTAATGTATTATTTTCTCGTTTTGGTCCCCCATCCAATGCTTACTTTATTATCTAACTCCTTTTTTTTTAATTTAAGTTATTAATCCATGCATTTCACGATTGGAAGATGTATAATTTTATGTAGACAAAATGTTTGGGTTGGTTTATTTGTCAAAGCAACACACACATGCACGCATCTTATTAGGTCCATCTTCTTTATTATTTAAAACGTTTGAACCATCTCCATCGAAAGTGAAGATGATTAATTAAGGTAGGAGGAAATATGAAATAAAACATTTATTCAAAGCAGAAAATATTTAAAGGGAGCACCACAGGAATTGGTTGATGTCTGAAAGCCAAGTATTTGCAGATTGATTCATAAGTTGAGGATTATTTATCTTAAAAAGAGGATATTAACTGTAAATAAATAGAGGATCACAAGAGTTTATATGGTGTAACTGAAAGGCCACGTCATGCTTTATCAAGTCCTATTCATGCATACCAATCTGAATGGAACTGATGGGTCCCACACCCAGTTGGTTTCAATTTCAAGGATAACCTTGACCCAAGATGCTCCACGTGGTCCCACTACAAGTCTATTTCTGTGATGGCATAATGTATTTGCACCTCTTCCTTTTTTTTTTTTCTTTCTTTTTTAAATTACATGGTGATTATATTAGAACGTATCCATATTTTTTTAAAATAATATTTTTTAATATTTACAACAACGTATGCTGTATAAATTAATATACAATGTAACATTTTCACATAATAAAGAGTTACTATAGGATTAGTAAAAAACGAACGCTCCCTTGCAATCTAGATAAATTCTCGAAACATTAATTTAAAGTAACCTAATATTAGATTAATAAATTTAAAAAAAGGTTGTAACACACATGATTTTTGTTTTTTAAAATGATATTAAGATTTATTTTAATATTTGTAAAATTGGAGAAATTAAAATATTTGATTTATAAAGATGTAACATCTTTCACTGGAATTTTTCTGTACTTTTCCTTTTTGCTTTTTTTGGAATCTTGTTGCTTCCTAATTTAAAAAGATAATATTGGATAATATTAATTTAAAAAAAAAAAGTTATCATATATTATTGGAAAGGGAAATGGGTGTTGGTGAAGATATGGTGCATGATGGTGGTAGAGGGGCAGAGTAAGATGATGGGTGACAATTTAACGCTTTTCTGATTGGAGAAGGGAGCATGTGGTCCTACGAGTGCCACACCCTCAAATCCTCACCTCTTCCATACCCAAATCGCCATTACATTACAGTTTACAATATGAAAAATATAATTTGATAACTCAATTTTATACCACTTTAACAAATAACTCACGTTGAATATTATAATAATAATTTTAACTTGTTATCATTTTTATTTAATCTCTTTCATGATTATTATATTAATAAAATAGGTTATTTTTTTAGTTATTTTTTATTAAGGTTGTCAAAATATCATGACCTTTACAATATATTTGTAATGATACCATGAAACCATGAATATACTGTTCTAATTGAAACCTTGATAGTTGAAATATTGTCGACAAATTCATAAAATGGATATGAAGAAGATATCTGGTGGTTTGGGCAAACCTCTGATCGACACCTGTACAATAGAAGTGAAGATATCTTTAAAACCTATTTATTCATCATATTCACTATTCAAATATTAAAAATCAAATCAATTTTAACTTAATCTTATAAATTACTCTAATAACATAAGATTTTTTATTAATTTATATTTATAATTTGATATGGAATTTTAATTTTAGAGATTTTCATCGTATTTTTTCATTGCGAAGAAAATTTTCTTTACGTCTAATTTCGAATGAGGCTCTTCAATAGTCTTAAAAATAATTAAAATTTATATCATAAAATTTAAACAAATATTTTTATAGACTAAAATATCAAAAATATTATATCATATCGTTTTCAAATTAAAATATTTTGTTTTAATTTATTTCAAGAAATTAAAATGATAAATAATTCAAATCAATTACAATTAACTCATAGATATCAACCTATCTCTAATGTATAGGTAAATAAAAAATGAGTACGATAAACATTGTTGAGCTCTTGGCTGATTCCTACCGATAAACCTCCAGACACATAAAGAACTGTTTACGCTTAAATTTGTTTTCATAGATAAGTCTTGGTATAAGATAATATATTATAATTGATCCATTTCTCTTTTTTTTTTTTCTTTTTCTTTTTTCTCTTTTCGTTTTTGTCTTGGCATGCCATCGTACTAGAATCACGATCCTTATAATAAGTTTTTAATTAAAATAAATTTTGTTATAATATTTTTTATCGGTACTGTATCGAAGCTTAATCATATCACTCAATTTAATTAATCTCTGTCCGAATAAAAAAAGTAATTAAAATTAAATTC